GTCATGTTAATCCTTGCAAATTATAACTATTAGCGGTCAAAAAATATGTGGAAACCGGTATTCCCCATCTAAAACAGCATCACGAGATCTTGAGGAAAGAGTACAAACTCAACAAGGTAGAACATTTTACAATTATTCATACAATCTGCTGAAACAGAAGCTTAATGAAAGACTAGCCGACCTAGAATGACCTAAATTTCTTACCAAAAGACTAAATAGTTAAAACAACAACAACAACAAAAAAACATTGTTAATACATGTAGCGCTAACTTGGTCCCATCAGTGTCCACTTTCACGCTTGGTAATTCGTAGGAGTACTAAGATGGCTCAAAATGATATAATAATTTACGGGTCGATCTTCTTTTTTACCTGCAAGTAACCGTGAATGATTTTCGATCGAACTGTAGTAAGACAGTTTCGTTGCAGTACCTCATGAAAGATGTTTTTAAACATTCTCCTTTAATCCGGGAGACCTCATAGATTTGAGAAAGAAACATCTGGTAGGCAGGAAACAGAATTGTGTTCTCTACATGATAGCATTACCATTAAACTAAGGAAGCATGTTTTTTTTTAGTATAGGGCGAATGTTTTTTTTTTCATTGTCTGTTTTTCTGTTTGGCTATTTCGTGTTCTGATCAGAGGAGAGATAACGTTGTTTCCATTTTTTACAGACATGTGACCAACCGATCGCAACTTTTCTTGTTGATGGAAAACTTGATCAAGCAATTCACTTGTTGATATTCATGATTATGTGACCTTTTTTAATTAAGACGTGCACGATGTTTCTTTTCTTTTTTTTATTTTACATCTTGTACCTTGTATCGGGAGAGCAACACGTTTATTAGCGCTCCTGGAGTAAATATTTTCTGACGATTGAGGGACGAATTAGTCAGAAATTGTTATTATGACGGCAGGATAGGGAGCTCGAGGGGTGTCATGGGACGCAGAGGGACTATTTTTCTTTTTCTTTTTAAAAAATAAATAAATAAACAATAAAACACGTTATTTCGTAATGTAGGGCGCCGTAGTTCAGTTGGTTAGAGCGCCTGTCTTGTAATCAGGAGGTCATGGGTTCAAATCCCATCGGTGGCTTACAGATGCCGCACTTTTTAATTCTCATTATTTTTGAAAATTGCTCATCGAAGCTTCGCATGTTGTACAACTGGGAATTTGTTTTGGTTGCGTTATCCAATGGATTCACTTTTAAAGTCTACGCAGGGGTCGACTGAAAAATTTCGAGAAGTATATAGAACGTAATTTGCGCATGGCTCCTTT